AAAAAAAAAAAAAAGACAACCCAATTTAAGAAGGACAAAGAACTTAAATAGACATTTCTCCAAAGAAGATATACAAATGGCCAATAAGCACAAGCACATCAAAAAATGTTCAACATCATTCCTTAGGGAATTCAAATCAAAACCACAATGAGGTACCACTTCATAACCACTAAGATGACATATCTATCTATCTATGAAACACATTGCCACTGAGTCTATTCTGATCATAGCGACCCTTATAGGGTTTCCAATCAACTGTAAATTTTTACAGTAGATGCCTCATCTTCCTCTCTTGGAACAGCTGATGGGTTTGAACTGCTGATCTTCTGGTTAGCAGTCAAATGCCTTACCCACTACACCACCAGATATACATATTAAAAAAAAATCACTGCCATTGAGTCAGTTCTGACTCATAGCCATCCCCATTGGGTTTCCGAGGCTGCAAATCTTTACAGAAATAGATCACCCCATCTTCCTTCTGTGGAGGAGCTGGTGGATTTGAACCACTGGGCTTCTGGGTAGCAGCCAAATGCCTTATTCACTATACCATCAGAGCTCCTTCACCAGATAGCCCTATCTCTATCTCTATCTCTATCATAGAAAACAACAAAAAAATAAACAAACACAGAAACTAACAAGTGTTGGCGAGGCTATGGAAAAACTAGAACCTTCATCTCTCACTGATGGGAACGTAAAATATGCAGCCACTGTGGGAAAAAGTTTGATGATTACTCAAACATTTCAGAATAGAATTACCATACGTCCCAGCAATTATACTCCTAGGTATATACCCACGAACAAATACTTGTACACCAATGTTCATTGTAACACTACTCACAATAGCTGAAAGGGGAAAACAACTCAAATGTCCATCAACAATGAATGGATAAACAAAATGTGGTATACACACAACATAATATGATTCAGCCATAAAGAGAAATGAACTTCTGATACATGCCACCATATGATGAAACTTGGAAACATGCTTAGTTAAGTAAGTCAGACACAAAACAACAAATACTACATAATCTCGCTTACAACTTATCTAGAATAGGCCAATTCACCCAGACAAGAGAATAGTAATTACAAAGGTGGAATCAATCATAGTGCCTTAAAAATAAACAAATAAATGAAAAATGAAACAAAACCCAGTCCTACTCCAGAGATTCTAAATAAATTGGTCTGGGTGTGGCATCAAAAACATGCATATTAAAAATAACAACAAAGGAAAACAACAATTAATTGTAAATGAGAGATTTTATTTCTAGACTCTCAATTCCATTCCATAGATCTCTATGTCTATCCTTGTGACTAAAAGTACTAGTAAGTAATTCAGTGATTTGAGACACTTTCCTGGTAACTGCCATGGAATTAGAACCGTCATTGATTTTAAATGATTTTCAAACTTTTTGTCTTATTTTCATTATATTGTGGCGTTGTTCTTGTTAGGTGCTGTTGAGTCATCTCCAACTCATAGCAACACCATGTACAACAGGAGAAAACACTACTTGGTCCTGTGGCAGCCTCACAAT